ACGTGGTTCGGCAACTTGCCTACGTCCACGGGGAGAGGATCAGGAGATTTCACTAATTCAAGGAGAGTACAAAAGGATTACAAAACTCTCAAACTAACCCTCAACCAAAGATCTCACCTTGCTCACAATATCTCCCTCTCACAATACTCAAAAGATTCCTCAATCTCTGATAAAAAAAAACCCTAACAAACCGTTTCCCTATTTATATCAAAACAAAAATCCAATCAGACTGCAAACAGGAAACCTGATTATGCAAAAAACCCATCGTAAGTCGACTTAACAGAGAGCATAAGTCGACTTGGCAGAGAGAAAAACAGCAACTGGAGACCACTTCATAAGTCGACTTATCAGACCTGATAAGTCGACTTGGCAGAGAAAAAAAAACACAACTCCAGTGCAGATCGTAAGTCGACTTGTGCACACTGACAAGTCGACTTACCATAAGTCGACTTAGCCTTGTGCATGAGTCGACTTATGCCAGAAAATCTGGTTTTTCTGATTTCTCCACATTTTCCTCTAAAAGTCTAAAGCTCAACGTGCAACAAGCCTTGCTAGGGCCAGCACCCACGAGACACAGAAATCCAAAGGACATCTTATTGGGTAGGAGTGCAAACAGACCGGATACAGAACATATTTTCACCTACCCATCACCGATATGAATACAAATACATATATGACTCGATAAGAAAAACTATACATATCTGTGAAAGATCACGGATTCTGATTAATGAGAGAAAATGTATGCAGATACAAACTAGATACAAGAAAATATATAAAATTGAGAAATATATAAGTCATATGATACAAGAGAGTCCACTGATATGTTCGTAATATCTAAAGAGCAAAGATTAGATCTTTAGATCATCAAAATTAATCTCAAATCAATTGATCTTTGTCAAAACAATGGCAACCGTTTTACCAATATATATCCAAGTATTTCAGGTCCGGATCTGGATGTTTCACTACTTATGTATATCTATAATGAATGTTGTTACATATAAAAACCATACTCTCACTTCGAAAGTATGGTTCTATTAAGTTTCTTGATCACATAAGATTAACCAGTACAAAAACAGAAAATGCATCCAAATCAACGATCACCCTCCAATGTTTAACCCAAAGTTGTATGCACAAAGTGTCTAAAAAAAAGAGAACTGCAAAAGCCATGATCAGATTAGAACACGTCATTCAAGAGTTATCCGCTATAATCCATTAGTCTTCCCAATTTGGCAAAAAGGGACCCAAGTTCGGTAGGATGCGTGATTCGAGGGCCGAGTTACATGGGCCAGCCCTCGTTGGAGAGTGGTTGAGAGTGTTAATGTATCCGGGTCCCACTGACAGGAAAATTTGGAAATAAAAGAGGCCATTGGTGGGCCCACTTTCATTTTCTCTTCCTCAACCCTATTATTCATTTGGGCCCCGTTTGGCAAAGGGTTAATGAAGAGGGGTTAAAGAGAAAGATTAATGTACTTAGCCCATTTGATAATCCGAAGGACTAAATTATTAACCCGTTAAATAAGTTTTATTTTAGCCCTTATGATCAGTTTTAGTGTTTGGGAATAACAATGATTTTGACTATTTTCTTTATAATTAGAAGGGTTAACTCTTATTCTATCTAAATAGGAGTATTAGTAAACCCCTCATTTTGAGGGGTTAACTCATTTTAACCTCTCTAGAGGGGTTAACTTAACCCTTCTATATTTTTTATGTTTGGCAAATTATGGAGGGGTAACTCACTTTAACCCTTATATAGATTTTTTGTTGTGTTTGGCAGGTTAAGAAGGGGTTAAGTCTCCTTAACCCCTCTCTTAACCCTTTGCCAAACGGTACCTTGGAGTACGAAATCAAAAGTACGGGACATCTGAAATACAAAATAACTAATTCATGGTATTAGGGAACGCTCAAGTTTCTCCATAGAAGAAATTTTCATTTTAAGCCCAATCTAACTTTTTTTTAAAAAACCTATCCACTCTGTTTTTATTTCTAGATATCGACTCACTTTGTGGCCACGTCAGCAACGTGGCCACGAAAAGGGTCGATTTTTTTTAATCTCGGCTACTGTCAAAATAATCGGGGTTGGCAACCCCGACTATTTAGAGACGAGATTAAAAAAAATTCGACCCGCTTCGTAGTCACGTTGCTGACGTGGCCTCAAGGTGAGTTGATTTCTGAAAATAAAAACAGAGTGCCGGTTTTTTTTTTAAAAAAATCTTAATAAGTTTAAAACAAAATTTTCTTCTTTATAAAGTTATCTATTTTTCTCGTTAACTTATGTTTGTCGTTTCAATGTGATTACTCTTTGACCCTATAGTCAATATTTAATAGATCAGTAATAATGTGACAGCTTTCTATTGCATTTTTTCATGAGCATTTATCACTCTGTCTCCTTCTTTCCATAACCAAAACAAAATTTTAACTAAGGGGCTGTTTGGTTGCACACTTTTTGAGAAAACTTTTCTCAAAACATCTGATAATGGTAAATTTGTAATTAAAAGTTTTCCAATGATTTCTATAAATTGTGTTTGGTTCAACAAAAAAATTACAGAAATATTTTCTATAAAATATCAAAACCTACCAAATTTTACAAAAAGCAATTTCCTCTCAAAATGAGAGGAAATCATCAGAAATCTGACACATACCATATTTTACAAAAAGCAATTTCCTCTCAAAATGAGAGGAAATCATCAGAAATCTGACACATACCATATTTAATTACAAACCTACCAAATCTTGTTATTTTCTATAAAGTTATGAGCTATTTTTTTGTTTTGAACCAAACAAGCAAAATACAAGGAAATTATATTTTAGGTGAAAAACATGTCCTATAATTTCTAGAAATTGAACCAAACACCCCCTAAACTTCTCACAAAACTTTTTATTCTTTAACCCTTTTTAGTAATTGAAAAATCTTCTTTAAAATTACAGAAAAAATGCTATTTATTAACGAATCTATTAAATATTGTACAAATTTTTAAAAACAACCTTTTTATAATATTAATTGGCAAAATCGACCGTTCAAGAAAATAATTGGCAAAATCGACCCTTTTGGGTCGATTTTGCTGCGAAGAAACTTTGTTAAAGTGCACGGGACTACTAGTCCCGTGCATCTCTCTCCTCTCTCCCTACCCCCATCCCACCTGGCCATCTCTCTCTCTCCTCACTCACCTCCCCCTCCTTCGCCTACCCCATCCTCCCCAGCATTACCCCTCCCCACTTCCCCTCCACCTCCAACCCAAATCGCAACCCGCATCTGTTGGCGTGGTGATAACGACAGTGGGTGATGGAGCTCGGGGTGCAGACGCTCAGAGCGTGGGCTAGCTGAAACGCGGGCGGAGGGCCGGCTGGAGGGAGAGCCGAGATGTCAGTTGAGTCAAGCTCGAGGGAGGAGGAGCGAAGATGCTTGACGCAAGAGGGCGCGACGGCGGGTGAGAGTTAGGGTTCGCGGTTGTTGGGCTTCGTCGTGCGAGGGGAATGCGTCGGAGCCTTAGCAGGCGTCCGGTGCAGAGTTTGCGGCGATGCTGAGGAGACAACGAAGTGTAGGCGGTCGCGTCGGGCTCGGGTTGGTGGCGTAGAGCTGGGCCGGAGCTACGCGCGTGAAGAGTGTGTGCTTGGCTGAAGGTGATCTGGAGGGTTGGTGAGAGAGGGAGAGATTTCTTGGAGTTGAGGAAGTGGGAGACGGCTGCCGTTGATTTGGAGTTGGCAGTGGCGAGGCGGGAAGTGGGAGGGGTCTGCTGGGAGAAGGATGGGGCTTAGGAAAGAGGTGGGGAGGTCAGGACGGAGAGAATGAGAGAGAGATGGCCAGGTGGGATGGAGGTAGGAGAGAGGAGAGAGATGCACGGGACTAGTAGTCCCGTGCACTTCAACAAAGTTTCTTCACAGCAAAATCGACCCAAAAGGGTCGATTTTGCCAATTATTTTCTTGAACGGTCGATTTTGCCAATTAATATTATAAAAAGGTTGTTTTTAAAATTTTGTCCTTAAATATTTAATTGTACACTCACAAAAATGATCATGTTAAGCACATACATATAATTTAAGAAGAAGAATATGCAAATAAAGAATATGAGAGTTTCACCAAATCAAAATTATGTTATGTCAAGATTCTAATCCCTCTCCCTTTGTGCATACTAGTGTGCACCCCGTGCAAAGCACGACCTCCTTTTTTTTAAACATTGCGTTTTGAACTTGCCTTCCTCGAAGTTTTAATATATTTGATTTAATTATTGTATGTTTAAAATTAGAAATCATATCTACTCCTCTATACTTAAATAATGATACAAGTTTTAATATTAATTTAGAAATCATATCTACTCCTCTATACTTAAAGAAGGATCAAAGTCTTAATACATTTGATATGTTTTACTGTATAAGATACAGTAAAATATTATAGCATAAATAGTAATTTTAAGTATGGAAGTGCATATTTAATTTAGTGTTAATACTATAATAAATAATATAGTATAAACAGTAACTTTGAATGCGGATGACATATTGATTTACTGTTTATACTATAATATTTACTGTTATATTATTAGTGTAGTATGAACAAAGCCCCACCTCAAAAAGAACCTCTTCCCATTTGAAAATGACAACCAAATCAAAATGGCGATGGGAGTGTATTTATTTCCACCATCTTTTTTCTCTCTCAAAGAAAGTTCTCTCTTTTATCTCAATGGAGGCAGCTCTCAAGCGTCGGATCTCGCGCGCCCCGCCTCCGACCCCGATCGCCAACGGCCAAGGGCTCGATCGGCGGCGGTCGACGATGTCGTCTCAGCCGAGTACCTCGAGAGCTCTTACCGGGTCCCCGAACTCGCTTTGCCGCGGTCCGCTCGGTTCCTAAATCCCCAATCTCCAAAACCATATGCGACGGTAAACTCTCCTCGCTTCGAGCTGGAACGATGGTTCTGTCAGCAAGCTTATGGCGGCTCGTGAGAGAGATGGGAGTTCTTCTCTATTGAATTTTGGTGATTTCCTGCGGAGGAAAGAGGCTTAGAGTTTTGATTGCGGCGGAGAGAAGCACATTGTGAGTGAGGGGGAGATGGTTGTTGGAGAGGAGACAGAGGATGATGGGGATGGAGCTTATTGGATCTTCAGGTAAGCCTGATAATCGAGTTGGTTTTTGGATCCTGAAATTAGACATGATAGCTTATAAGTTTTGTTTAAACATGTGACATATGGTTGTTTAAATACCTTGTAGTTTCACAGCCTTAGCACTTATATACCCTCAGTTATTTTTTGTAGCAGTTATATACCCGGAGTTGTCTAAAACTGGCACGGTAATACTCTCTGTTATGCAACGTGAAAATCTTCATCCGAAAATTCTCATATAACATTTTATATATATATATATAGACACACACACACACACACACACATACAGATACATATACATACACACGCGCACATGCACGATATGTATGAAAATTTTCATCCAAAAGTTCTCGTAACACATACACACACATATAGTTTGTGTAGCATTGACATACCCTAAGCTGTTTAAATCGGCACGTTAGTATCCTCTATTATGCAACATACACACACATATAGTTTGTGTAGCATTGATATACCCTAAGCTGTTTAAATCGGCACATTAGTATCCTCTATTATGCAAACATTCCAAAAGTTCTTGTAACACATACACACACATATAGTTTGTGTAGCATTGACATACCCTAAGCTGTTTAAATCGGCACGTTAGTATCCTCTATTATGCAACATACACACACATATAGTTTGTGTAGCATTGATATACCCTAAGCTGTTTAAATCGGCACATTAGTATCCTCTATTATGCAAACATGAAAAATTTCCACCCGAAAGTTCCTATATAACATCTATTTGTTAATATTAGAACTTTTTTCCATTAATATTTGTAAATCTACACATGTTTTAATTTAAATCTACACATGTTTTAATTAAATCTACACATGTTTTAATTTAAATTAAATGTATTTTAATTTTACTTTAAAAAGAGAATTTGGAAAGATTTAAAAGTTAATTCAACAAACTTAATAGTCAGAAAGATATAAAATTAGCATATGTACGTACGTACGCACACAAGCACACACACACAAAGACAATGTTATGAGAACTTCATGTTTGCATAACTGAGGGTATTATTGTGCTAGTTTTAGGCAACTCAGGGTGTATAAATGCTACACAAAGTAACTAAGGGCATATAAGTGCTAAGGGAGTGAAAATATAAAGTATCTAAGTGCTATTGATCTTGGAATGTATATAAATCACAATGTAATTATGTATATAAATCACCCATGTTTGGATGGGGTTGAATGGAGGAGAGGGGAAGGAAAACACAAAGGTTTGCCCATTTGAGAATTTTAAAGGATATGAAGGGGAAGGGAGTTGATAAAATCACTTCACTTCACCTCCAATCTATATGATTTGGTTCCCCCTAAAAATAGGGTGTAATAGAGGTGAAAATATTTTATCCATCGCGATATAAATCCAATAGCTAATAAATAAGTTTCCCTCCATTCTCTTTACTAAACTCCCAAGTATAATGTTATACCC